CGCTAAATGAAGAGATCAAATCTGGATTGTTGCTTCTGCCAAAATCTTTAATCTTTTTAGTCTTTAATGCACAAATCACTACGGTACATAGCCAAGGCAAGGGGTAAAGGTGCAGCAGTTGTATTGCATGGCTTAGACGTGCTGAGACATTGATCCAATGATTGACACGCCCCCTGGGAGTGGGGCATGCACAGCATCTTTGGACTGGGCAAATTTGGACACTTCTTTGAGTGGGTTGGGTCTGAGCGGTCTTATCATAGTGATGTCTCTGTGTTGTAGGCAACAGGGGAGGAGACTGTGCTGGCTCAGAACCAGACCTGTGCTCTGACACCTCCCTTGCAGGTGGAGACTCATTTACAAGAGAAGGTGAGGAGGTTCTTGTGGGAAAGGGAGCTGATCGGGAGCATCTGGCAGCTCCTGAGTGGGCTTCTCCCCATTCCAGCAACCCACTAGGTTCCTCTCTGGGGTCTGGCTCTGTGCCCAAAATCTCCAGCTTTGACAACTCTGAGACCTCCTGGGGACAAGACAACCTGCAAGGTACCTTCCCGGGATCATCTTGACTCCAGCTCCTTGAGCTCCTCTCACCCTCCTTCCTGTCCTGACCAGCCTTTCCAGGACATCTCCACGGGACTTATGCTAGGCTTCTGCCGAAATCCTGCATTATTTGTTTCACTATCCACTATAATCGAAATCTACGTGATTAATACCATGTGTTTCAAAACAATGTCAAAAACAATGATGCCAACAACTAATGTAGTTATATAATGTTCGTGAACAAAACAAAAAAACACCATCATTAGTGAATATTGCTTGTATTCGCTTGTGTGATTTCCATTCCTGACCTTTGACGAATTTCTGAATTGCAGGAATTTTTGATGAAGTTCTCTGATGTCCCTAGCATGAATGCAACAGTCCTCCCATATTGTTGGTCTTCCAGCATCTGGTATTCAGAGGTAGACTGCCCCTGCAAATGGAAGCTCCACTTAGGTATCAGAACTAATAGCTCTTGATAGACACATTCTCCATTAATTTTGATGAATCCCTTTCTAAAGCCGCCCCCCCCCCCAATTGTTCGCCCCAAGCATCTGGTACTCAAAGGCCCTTATGCAAGGAACAAAACGTCCCTGTTTGCTGTGCACTGACTTGATCTCAACCGGCCCTCCCTGCTTCTCACACTGATGAGAGTTGAAACGGAAGGAAACAACTTTAAGTCCTGCTTTTCTCCCCCCCCCATTCCATGCCTCCTCCTCCCACACTTCCCAGCCCCCCAACTTAAATTTCACAGGCACCTGAATCTGATCACAGCTTCCTCCGTCCAGTGTAAAGTTTAGTCTGAGACAGAGTGCATACCACAATGAGTTGGGATAATATTAATGTATAGTATTCAAAGCCCCAGGGCCTGTATGTTTCATTAATTTCCTCCCCATTAAAGTAAAACGAGGATATCCTGTAGAGAATTGCAGTGAACCGTTCGGACTGCGAAACTCGTCTTGACCTCGCTTAGAAAAACACACAGACGGGGAGAGAGAGAGAGAGCGCAGCTGATGGCAATATACAAGCGCCCAAATGAAATGCACTCGTTCCTCGCTCAGCTCCCTGCCCACCCCCACATTTGCGCCAATACTACTGTGCAAATATTTAGCTTAACAGGATGGGAAGAGCAGGACAGCAGGCATGAAAGGAATACCCACTGATTTATTTGTTTAAAACGTGAAACATTTCCCGTAAATTCTTCCCAGTGCATTCACCTCGGGCACAGAGCCTACCTTGGTGAGACCCAAGCAGGCCGGGGACAGAGGAAGGTGAACATGTGCAGAAAACGTTAACACAGCCGGGATTTGTTCCTGTCACCCATTTGCAAGCACACCAGCCCCAGCCACCCAGCCAGCACAGGTACGCAAAGCTCGTGGGCTGAGGAAACGGCCATTTCCCTTCTCAAAGGCTGCCTCAAATGCTAAGCTAAGATGCTCCTGCTAAACAGACGGTAGGTTTTGTTTTTTTGTGCCCCCGAGGAGCAGTGGATGGCTGCCAGCTCTCAAATCTGTTTCCTTCTCTAGCTTGAGAGACCCCAAGGGCTTTCGAGTGTAATGCTGTGGCCTCTGTGAGATTTCCTTTGTGTCTCATTGGTTTGTCCACAGCCTGACCTCCCACCAAGATTAAGGAAACCACCTTGTCCATTTAAATACAGAGCTCGCTGCTTCTGGTCCAAGGGCCTCTCCTGGCAAAATTTACATTTGGAGAACATGCATCAGGTCACTGTATTTTACTTGGGTAGTTTTTGGTTTTTTGCACCCAGCGTAGATGCCTTCACTCGAGTTTGTTTCTCACTGCGCATCTTAAAAGTCGCCTTTCCACATAACCTGTGGAAAGAGGAACAAGAAGAACAAAGCAAACTTTTGTATCACCCTGTACTAAAAATGCTAGAAGCAAACTTTTGAATCACACAGGACTCCAAGAGAGGCTGAATATTTGGCAGAACTCAGGATTGTGCTGAATCATGGGATTAGTGAGTAAACAGAACCTGACACAGCAGCAAAATGTATCACTTCCCCCAAACCTGCAGTCTGATAAAGAGTCTTGCATGAATCTAAATTTATTCTTATAGATTCAAATAAAATGGCTGTCTCGTTTGCTCTGTGTTGCTTGTTCCTCCTTCCGCAGCCCATGGGGAAGAAGTAAAGGCAATCTATCATTTCCATCAAATAAATTCATAAGTGTACATTGCAAAAGTGGTAACTGTGTCGCACCGAAAAGGTTCTAAGAGCGATGCCGAGAATGCTTACTCAGAAGTAAATGCCTACTTGTGCATTTGTTATGCACAGTAACACAGTAAATGTGTTAAGGAATGCAGCCTTGGCCTTAAAGATCTGAGACCAATGCCAACTTGGCATCTTATCCTACCATTAATCAATTAGATAAAGGTGATCATTTAGATCCTGCCCAACTATTTTTAAATATATGTTTCATAAAGACAATTACCACAGGCAGGGGGCGGGGTGGGGTGGGGGAGAGAGAAGGTAGCTAAGTAAGGGAGGAAAAGCTATCTACAGATGTGTCCCAGGCTCCATACAGACCACACATTTAGAGCACATTTCCTCCTCCACAGCAAGGTTTACCCCTCAAAGAGTTACAATTCCCAGCACCCATAGCAAACTGCAGTTCCCAGGACTCTTGGGGTGGAGGAGGAAATGTGCTTCAAATGTATGGTGTTTTATGCAGCATCAGTCCAAAAGGACATTCTTTTGTGCAAATGTCATTGAAATGAATGGGAATAGCACAAGAGTGCTACAGAGAAGCTGATTCACTCTGCTCTGCCATTTTATGCATGGCTCCACACCTCTTACCTGGACTACTTCTTCTATCTTTCTAACCTGCTTAGCTTCAAAGAAGATACCGGTACATCCAGACATGGCTTTTCCCAGGCATGGTGCAAAAGCGACTGTGCAGACAATGTGGAGGAGAACCTGGTTTCCTCCAGGTGTTTTGAACTACAATTCTACTCGGTCCCAGCCAGCATGGCTCCAAGTTTGAGAGGAACTCAGCAAAATGCCTTCTGGTTGCCCCCTTCAGCAAAAGTCTCTTGAAGCAGAAGACTCTGAATAACTGCTAAGTGGTGCTGTTTTAATTTCCCACCGAAGGCATTATGGAAAATATAAATGGTGCTGCCCAACATTGTCAGACGGATTTGCTGGATCACTAGATCCCTAGCAGCTACTCAAGGGTGCCCCATAGTGATGGGGTGCCCGAATGGAGAGACATATACTATTGGTGAGAACTCTTTAATTTTGCAACGTTCTTGCATTGAGCGGCAACAAAGGGTATTGCCACTGAACATTTGGCTCATATCAACCACGTGCTGGGCAGCCAGATCAGGATGATGACCTCCTGCCCAGGTTTCCTTCCCTGCTGCAGCAAAGCCCTAGCATCAGGTGGTGCCACCCAGGCAGAACACCCTAACTACATCCATTCCCCCACTGTGCTTGCGGCACCAACTCTGGAATCTTCTCCAGAAGCTTTCTGCAATGCAGCTCGTGACTTTCAGACCACACTTTCCCCTAGGCTATTTGTCTGAACTGCATTTAGATGCTTCCTAATACTCATGCCATCTGCTCTCCGAGGCACGCAAGGGAGGATGGATAATAAAAGTTAAGAGAAATAACCAAGATGTTTACGAGACTAACTGTGGAACTGGGAGAGACTGTCTTGCTGTCACTCCTACCCATCCTCTCTCCATCTCCCCTCCTGACCTGAACTTGTGTCACGAATGCTTTAGACTTGCATGCCTGCACAGCGCAAGGACAGAGCTGGGTCTGGTTTTAATTACTGAGTGGTGGTTTTATATATATATATATATATATAAAGTTGTTTTTAGTTGTGGCCAGCCATTACAAGCAAATCCAAGAAGACTCCTTACAAATCCTTTTCAACGGGAGTTTACAATGTCCAATGCAGGGCTTTTTTTCAGCCGGAACTCACTGGGACTCAGTTCCGGCACCTCTCAGGTGGGTGCCATTGCCATTATAAGAGAACGTGGGAGGCGTTCATGTTGAATTCTGGCACCTCTTTTTCTAGAAAAATAGCACTGGCCTAGTCCAGCCATGAATTTTAGTCTCAGGCACTTCTGAATTAAGCCTTGTAATGAGACTCTGCACCCTCCCTGCCTGCGAGACTTATTATTAAATTGCTGTTGTTGTTGTTTTACAAATGTGATATACAGTGGTACCTCAGTTTTTGAACATCTCAGAAGTCGAACGTTTTGGCTTTTGAATGCTGAAAACGCAGAAGTAACTGCTTCAGTTTTTTAATGCTTCTGGACTGAGTTTTCCAGACATAAATGCTTCTGGAAATGCATGCTTTGGTTTTCAAACGTTTCAGAAGTCGGACGGTCTTCTGGAACAGATTAGATTTGAAAACCAAGGTACTACTGTATATGTGTCATCTACTCTTCAAAGTAGCTTTTAAAGATTTAGTGGTTCCTAAACTTTTCCATAGTTTTGGGAGGAGCCATAGCTCAGTGGTAGAACATTGCTTTACACGCAGAAGGTCCCAGGTTCAATCCCTGGAATCTCCAGGTAAGGCTGAGAGAGAATTTCTCTGAAATCCCAGAGAGCTGCAGCCAGTCTGTAGACAATATTGAGATAGATGGACCAGTGGCCTGACTCAGTATAAGGCAGCTTCCTATGTTCATAATGTAAGAAGAACACTGCTGGGTCATATCAAAGGCCTATCTAGGCCAGCATCCTATTTCACACAGTGGCCCTCTCTATCCCCATGGCAGGGACTGGGGAACCTGCAGCCCTTCAGATATTGCTATTAATATTTATTAAATTTCTACACCATCCTTCATCTGAAGATCACAGGGATGCATGAAAGCACACATACCATAATAACAAACAGAAACAATAACACCACCCACACCACACCACACAGTTTGAAACGCCATAGATTGTTTAATTAGCCAAAGGCTGGGGAGGAGAGAAATGTTTTTGCCTCATGCCTAAATATATGTAGTGAAGGTGCCAGGCGAGCCTTCCTGGGGAGAGCCAGGGCTTTTTTTCTGCCAGACCTCAGTTCCCAGCAGCTCCCATGTGGGCACCATTGTCATTATAGAAGAACAACAGAGGCATCCATGGTGAGTTCTAGTACCTCTTCTTCTAAAAAAAATAGCACTGGGGAGAGCAGTCCATAAATGGGGAGCCACCGCAGAAAAGGCCTGTTCTCGTGTTGTCACATTCCAGACCTCTCATGAAGGGGGACACTAAGAAGGGTCTCAGATGATGATTGCAGGGTCTGGGTTGGTTCATATGGGGCGAGGTGGTCCTTGAAGTACTGCAGTCCTGAGCCACGTAAGGCTTTATAGGTCAAGACCAGCACTTGGACTGGACCCAGAAACTAATCGGCAGCCAGTGCAGCTGGGCCAGGATTGACGTTATGTTGCTAGACTAAAACTCCCATAGTCCATCTGTGGATTTGTCTAATCCCTTTTTTAAAGCCATCTAAGTTGTTTGCCACCACCATATCCTATAAAAGCAAATTCTAAAGTCTTTTTAAAAAGTTAATTGTTTCTTGATCTATGCAAATCAAAATCGAGATTAGAATTTTAAAAAATAACTAAGTCCAAACACTGTACACTGAAGAATACAGTTTCTTCACACTCACGTCATCACTCCAAGTTACAGTGTAATACTGACTTTGAAACCTATGGTCCCTCCCTCAGTTGTGGGAATAGATCAGTCCAGAAACAAATATGGTGGCTGGGAAGCACAATCCCATAGGACCCCTTATCTATAACACACCCTTTGCTAGCTCTATAACAAATGAGTAAGTTTCTCACAGGGATGCGGGTGGTGCTGTGGTCTAAACCACTGAGCCTCTTGGGATTGCCGACCAGAAGGTTGGCGGTTCGAATCCCCACAACGCTCGAATCCCGTTGCTCAGTCCCAGCTCCTGCCAAACTAGCAGTTCAAAAGCACGCCAAAAAGTGCAAGTAGATAAATAGGTACCGCTCTGGCAGGAAGGTAAACGGTGTTTCCGTGCATTGCTCTGGTTTTGGTGCTCCGTTGCACCAGAAGCGGCTTAGTCATGCTGGCCACATGACCCAGAAAAACTGTCTGCGGACAAACGCCAGCTCCCTCAGCCTGTAAAGCGAGATGAGTGCCGCAACCCCAGAGTCATCTGCAACTGGATTTAACTGTCGGGGTCCTTTACCTTTATCTTTTTAAGTTTCTCATGTAAAGTCAACTGCCGCATTCCAACCATGAAGGCATTTGCAGTGAGTGTCTTTGATATGTTCCAGCATTGGAGGACTTCTGCTTTGACTGTTTCAAGTATTACTAAGTCTTTATGCACTATCATCTCCTCTTATTTCATCCATATATTTTTTTTTAATAAAAAAACCACAGTTGCAAAATTGCCACAGAGACTGTTATGTAATGGCGATATCATAGGCACTGGCTAATCAGCACTATCTGCTGGGGTTAAGCATGAAGTTTGATTCAGGTCTGATTTGAAGCTAAATCCACCAAATTTGCACTTTCCAAAATGATATGCAAACTGAAACACAGCCATCTTTTGAAATTTGCCCTTTTAAGAATTTTGCTGCTTCGCCTAACAACCTTTACAAAAAATCATATATTAGGGGCATAAATAGAAAGAACACACTGGCAAGAATGACACCAAAAATTATGTTAGGAAATTGTTTGCAAAAATGTGTACATTTGTCAAAACTGTATATAAATATATGTTTATTAGGAGGAATTTGTATGAAAGTGCTGACAAATTTTTGTGAATTTCTGTAAATCAACAAATGGTTGCAAAATGTCGAGAACCAAATTTAAGACTGGGGAAACAGGAAACCGAGAGAACTGAAACTGACAGGGCCTTCCATCCCTACTGCCTACAGCTACCTTTTTCACATTCAGACAGAAATACTTGAGAAAGCTGGAGGAAAATGGAGCATGGGTGCTTCCAACTGGCTTCACCCACAATATTTAGAGAGCAAAGTGTCCATTTAACAAATCTGCACCTTTTCCCCAAGTTGCATTGGTGAAGCATTTAAGCCCACATTTGCAAGTCCAGAAATAAAATTTCATGCCCCCTTGATTCTGCCTCCATTTGGACTGGAAAATAATGTGATATAATGCAAATATCCCTAAGTAATAAATAACAACCAAAAAAAAATGCAGCCCACTGTTCTTCACTGTAATACAGGGACAAAAATAGGTTTGTGTGTGTGTGTTGGGGGGGGGGAATTATCTTAATTAAAATTCTCCCTTTCATCCTAGTAATTACATTCAAACAGGCAACAGCAGCAGCATCGCTGCTTGTCACCATGCCAAAAATTTTTTGATTTGATCACCGGGACATCGCACAAAATAAAATAAAACAAAATTGGAAAAAAGGGGTGGGGGGAAGGAGAGGAGAAAACTGCCAGGGTAAAAAAAAAAAAAAGGTAATTACTTCTGGAAGGCTGCGAGAAGAAGGGGGTGAGGGGAAGAAGAAAGGGAATGAAAGAAAAGAGGAGGAGAAGGGAAAGAAGGGAACACAGTGGCAGATAATATGGCAGCAAGGATGGAAACACCTGTAAGCCAGTGGAGATCTAGCAGCTATCAGCTCTGGCTGCATTCCATATCCATTAGCACCAGCAGACTGCCTGGGCTCCAGGAAAGGAGGGTGTTAAGCTCTGACAACCACTGAAAGCTGATGAAAACGTACCAAAGGGGCAGTCACAGGCTGCAATTTGATAAAGAAGGGGAGGGGGGATACTGCAAGTGGAAATGGGGGGAGGAGAGAAGGGGGGAGGAGAGAAAAAGCCAAGAGTAAATCAGTCTAATTAATGCCTTTGCTCATTTATCGAGGGCAAATGCTAATTATTCTTTTTAATCACTTTCTGCCGCAGTTACTCGTTCTCGCTCGCTCGCTTTTCTTGCCTGGCTCTACCTAGTGCAAGGGGGCTGTTGGGAAAGCAATCGGGACCTGAGGCCTATAAAGAAAGAAAGCAGCAGCAGTGAGCGCAAGATAAAGTGCTCCAGTGGGTTTGGGTAGCCACTGGGCATATCAGCGGGAAGGTGAGATGGGGAGGACTAGGTGGCTCCCTGATCCAGTTGCGCATAACCTGCGTATACACACGCACAACTGCAGGACGGCCCCGTGTTGGCTTGTTCACTCTGGCCTCCTAAACCAAGTGGTGCTGTCAGGGACTGGGCAGATGAAGAAGAATGGTGGAGACTGCCACCCCAGTGGTTGCCTAGAGAGGAGGAAGGGGCAGATAGCATAGACCTCTAGGAGTGGTTTGGCACAGGGAGGGAGGGAGATGAGGGCAAAAGTTGGGAAATAATGGGAGAGGAGGAGGAGGAAGTGGGTAGCATTTAGCAGGCAGAGCCTCAGCACCGGCTGAATGAGACGCTGTCTCTGGAGAGTACCCCAGAACCCGTACCCTCCCCCAAACCAGGCGTTTGCTGAGAATAGCAGAACAGAGAGTTCAGAAGCAACTGTCACATACCAGCCACCATCAGAGGCAGGAGGAGGAGTCAGATGAATAGGGAAGTAATGGAGAAGTGGGGTGGAGCGTCACTCTGGCCAACGTTAGGCATTGAATTGGTACATCTTGAATTCGTCTCTGTAAATTATATTAATAAACAGAACTGAAAAAGCTTGCTGTTTCTCTATCTCACTGCCTTCCTGGGAATGAGCCGCAGCTGCCAAAAGCATCCTGACAGGTGTGCCCTGTGTCTTCAAGGTCAAGGATGGGGCTCCCAGTCCCAGTGGGCTTGGCAGCAGAGAAAGGCAATGGCAGCACCAGAAAGGGGAATGCTAGGACGTCAAATGCTTCTGAGGTACAGCATATGTCCCAAACACCCACAGCATAAAATCAAGGAAACCATGCTAGATGGTTTTATTTCCCCACGAAATAACCACACAACCTATTTCAGGGAGGTGCACTTGGCCATTTTTCTGCTTGCCTGGGATAACTACTAATAGCCCCCAGACAAACGGTCAAACAGCAGCACATCTTCCCTTCCAGCAGCCACTGTACAATAACAGAACTAGTGTTGCTGGATATTCATCACTTCCTGATACAGAGTGAGAGGAAGATGGACTGTGGGTAGACAGACAGGTCTTCAATATAAATTTGCATGGCTCATTTTAAAAACAGAACACTGGTAGCATGAGATGGTGTGCCATCATGCACTCCTTCTCAATGTCCTTTGTCCTGCATATAATCAAGGGGAGATTCAGATCTCTTGGTATATCATTGTGCAGCGGTTTAACATGATGACGTGTTTCCATGCTGGTCTTCCGAGGCAGATTACCTCAGAGAATGGGGGCAGAATATAATCATCATGCCAGTAATAGACAAATTCATGGAGAATAAGGCTAATTCTCTTTTAAAGCCATCCAAGTTGGTGGTCATCATGTCCTGTCTGAAGAGTTCCCATAGGCATCTGATTGGCCACTGTGAGAACAGGATGCTGAACTAGATGGGCCTTTGGTTTGACCCAACAGGGCTTTTCTTTTGTTCTTATTATAGGAGGTTTCCAAGATATGAATCTGAAAAATGGCTTAGAAGTG